ATTGTTATCCTTTATGTTCATCTTATAAAGATTCCTCTTTTCCCTCAAAATCCTACAAATACTTTTAGTCATCCACTGAGGATGCTGCTTTTTCAGCTTACTTTTGGACACCTTTGGAATGAATTTGTATTGTGAATCAAGTAAAACCCCCTTAAATCTTTCCCACATCTCATTTACAGACTCACAGTCCAGGAGTGTCTCCCATTTTATTTCACTTAGATATGAGCGCATCCTGTCAAAGTTTGCTTGTCTAAAATTGAAAATTTTTGTTTTTGAATACACCTTTTTAACTTCTCATGAAACATCAAAATTAACAGCAGAGTGATCACTTGTCCCAAGTGGCTCCAGTACCTCAACATTGCTAATTCTATCTGGGTCATTACAGAGCACCAAGTCTAAAATTGCCTTCTCTCTTGTCGGTTTATTAACATACTGCACCAAAAAATTATCATTTATAACATCTAGAAATTCTTCCTCCCCCCTACCCTGTCCTTTCACCATTTCCCAATCGATACCAGGATAATTTAAGTCTCCCATAATAATAGTCCCTCCACCTCTACAAGCTTGCGTAATCCTGTTAAAAAGCATTTCATTGACTGTACTGTCCAAAGCTGGTGGCCGATAGCATACTCCTATGTTTAAACCTGTGTCGTGTTTGCCAGTGAGCCTGACCCAGATATTCACAGGGCAAGGAATGTTCAATTTCAGGAATTTCCTGTACATTTATGTTTTCGTTCACATAGATTGCTACGCCCCCTCCTCGCCAATTACATCTATCCTTCCTAAAGAGCTTATAACCTTCTATATTATATTCATCTCCATCCTCTTCATTAAGCCATGTCTCTGTAATCCCAACTATGTCATAGCCCTCACTAATCATAACGGCCTCAAGCTCTGGAAATTTATTTTTTATGCTTCTTGCATTTAAATAAAAACATTTCAGGTTATTACTAATGCTCTTCCCCCTTGATTTCCCATGTGGCCGCTGCTTCAAGCCCCCCACTACGCTTTGTTGCTTGAAAAGTATATAATCAATAGTGCATGTAACGCCGTCAGCTTCCATCAGGGCAGTCTGCATTTCCCTGTGTGTAACACTCACTAACCTCCCTGCCCCCCCAAGTCCCTAGTTTAAATAATCCTGTGCTACCCTCAACATACGCTGACCCAGTGCAAAGGTACGCCTCCGGTTCAGGTGCAGCCCGTCAGGCTTGAACAGGTCACCCCTGTCCCAGAAAAAGTTCCAGTGCCCCATAAACCTGTACCCCTCTCTCATACACCAGGTTCGTAGCTATGTGTTAAACCTCCAGATAAAATTCTGCTTTCCTCTGCTTGCACGTGGTACCGGTAGAATCCTGGAGAACACTACCGTTGAGGATCTGCTCCTAAGCTTCTCAGCTAATTCCACAAATTTGCCTTGCAGAACCTCAAACCTACCCTTACCTATGTCATTTGTCCCAATATGGACCATGACATCTGGATCCCTCCCCGCTCTGGCCAGGAGCTTGTCCGCACGCTCCAGGAGGTCTCCTACCTGGGCACCAGGCAGGCAACACACCGTACAAGACTCCTTGTCGCGCGAACAGACTAGGCTATCTATTCCTCTAAGCTCATCAGTCCCCTCACTCTCAGGGTCAGGGGCCAATTCGAGTTCCTGCAAGGGCCGGAATCGGTTGGACACCTCAACCACTGGAGGAGCTGTCACTGCACAGTGTGCATGCCTTTTCCTGCGCTGTCGACCTACAGTCACCCAACTTTCTCTCCCTGCCTGCTCTGGGATCCCTGTACCACCCTGCTTTGGCGTACACACCATTTCTCTAAACGACATACTACTTAGTTCACAATCAGTAGAGTTCCTATAGAAACTATGTCGTGCCGCCAACTGGCCCTGAAGATCAAGGATCTTGCTCTCCAGATGCTCAATTAGCTGGCACCGGTGACAGACAAACCCACCCTGGAAATCTCTTTCCAAAAGCGCGATCATCCTGCAACCGTCACATAGTTTTGGCCATATTTTGAACCCCCTACCTAATGACCTCGCTCACCCTAGATAAAAGAAAATAACTTATGCCGAGACAGAAGCTCAGGAACCACAATTTATTAATTTATTAACCTAAGAAGCCCTAAGCAGCAGTCACGATAGAAACCGTGGGGAAACTATGTAGATGGATTATAAGCCTCTTTTAACGGGCTTAGTTTCAGTTAACAGAAATGAAATACCAAATTGAGCCAAACTCTATATGTAATAAGCACTCCAAATCAGCCGACTTGAGTTTATCTAGTCCCAGTACTATTAATATACTAACCTAAAAATATCACAGGGCTTAGCTGAGAACCCAGATAAAACAGACTGGCTACAACGCCCAGGAGAAACTGGAGGAGGGAGGAGGCGGAGCACTCCGGTAAAACTTACCGTTTAAATTCCAACCTAACCGAATGGACGACTAAAGTGACTGCTGCCCCACTAACTTAATACTAAATCTCAGATCCCCAGCCAAAAATGCAAACAGTACTTATCTAGCTAGCTAGCCACAAATACAACCAAGGGTAACCGAGAAGAGAGTAAAGCCCCGGTTCCCTTTAATTGAAACGGACCGAATAAACAAGTCGTTTACTATGTGAGCGAACTAAACACGGTACCTCCCCCAACAAGCTGTCCTAAGCACTCAAACAGGCAGTTATACTTTAATCAGCCGATCAAGACGTAGCAACCGGAGGAAAATACAAAGATAGGGTAATTTACAATGTGTTTAATCAGAAGAGCCCTTCGGTAATAATAAAATGCAAAAAAGACAAAAACCCCGGTTCGCGTTAATATTCAAGCTTGGCAATGCGTTTATGCGGTAATGCGGTCAGGATAGAGAGTGAAGGGGACTAAAAACCCCGGTGAACGACTAAAAACCATTCTCTGGTGCTCTGACACACTACCCACAATACCTGCATTATAGACCCTGTATACGGAGAGATCATGGTTTATCAACAGATAAACCTAGAGATGGAACCTAGAGGTGTTCAACTGTAAAACTCGCTGCTTACATGACCCTCCTCTTTCCGACAGAACATCATAAAAGAATGTATATTGCCGACTCTTTTCCCAATCCACTCTTAAAATGCAATCAAGTCGCCATTAGCTCACACCCTCTTTAACCTCCCCTGCTCACCCCAGGGCCCTAATGCTACATTTGAAACTGCACTGGAGCTCCCTGAGGCTGGAGACAGTGACTACGTTTACATGCAGTCAATAACCCTTTCATAACCGGAATATTTGCAATAACCCGGTTGCACATGGCCATGTAAACACCAATTATCCTTTTGAAAAACCAGAATATGCTCATATTCCGGTTTTTAAAAACCTGAAAATGACCCCTGGGTTACTCCTTTTCTAACCTGAATATTTGGTCATGTATTCGCCTATCGGGATATCCCCATCGAAAGGAACATTAATTTGTGTTCTGCGCATGTTCTATTCGCAAGGAATCTTGGTCTTTTGAGTACAGGAACTACTTGTTGTAAACATGGCGAAACGCAAGACAAAACCACACTTTTGAAGCGAGGAGGAAACAAATCACCTCATAAGTGTGGTGAAAGACCTACATCTACATCATGTCTTTTGTAGACGGTAGAAAGTACCGGGATAACGAGATCTACAAGAAAGTGAGCGAAAAGTTAAGCGAAGACGTTGTCCGTGCGTCGCTGTTTTGATCGGGATATCCCAATTGATTACAATTACCATGTATACAGGAATAACCCTGTTTGCTCACGCATGTAAACGGGTTATTCTGAATGTTTCAGGAACCGGAATATTGACCTTAACTCGAATATTGACTGCATGTAAACGCAGTCACAGTTCCCAGAAGACCAGGTCTGCCCTTTTGGCCTATTTTTTACTGTCTGCAAGACACCACATAAGAAATGAAAGAGTGGTTTATCAAATTGTAAAATTAATAACTTACCTGAGAAACTGCAATAGCTCGACTTAACACTCCTCAAGGTCAGACAGCCCAGAGGGCACCGGTATCCTGATCACCTGTGTCCAGGAGGGTTATATATTTATTCAATATAGTTCAAGTTCAGTAAGTGTATACATTTTAGTGGTCCGTAAGCAGTGCAGATGATAGCCAGTCACAAATCCATTGAGGGAACAACAGCATTTGGAGTGACTGTACAATACCCTGTCACCACAGGATTATATTTAAGGATGGGTGTGTGTGCTAGAGGACTCGCATATAGGGGGGTTGGGTTTCCAGAATGAGTTTATGATGTGACAAACAGATCTGCAGTAAAACAGAGGAGGGGCTAAAAGGAGGGGGTAGATGAGTACCCTCCTGTCCCTGTTCTAACAATATATTATTTGTCACTGAAGCAATCCAAGAAGCGCATCCCAGACAAACAAGTGACACAATGCAGTCGGCCTACTGGAGCGCAGGTGAGACTGTGTAACCTGGTGTAAGGTCTTACACATGAAACCACAAGGTTCATCAAAGCAGACTCAAACAATTATTTTTCATCCTCACGAAGAAAAGAAACTGAGCAATCAGATACAGCAAATCTATTTCTTATGGAGCCTCCAAACGGTCATAGCAGGAATTTCTTAGGAGAGATACATTTGTGTTCCCTTGCAAAGGTTTTGCGGTTCCTCCCAATTCATTTGCGTTCCCTCGCAAAAGTTTCACATTCCCTGGCAAAGGGTTTGCATTATCTCGCAATAAGTGTTATACTCCCTTGTAAAAGTTATGCCTAGCCTTTTGTCACCATACATTAGATACACTTGATTAAACACCATGGGGTAATTTGTCCTCTGCATTTAACCCATCCTATAGTTAGGAGCAGTGGGCAGCCACAGAGCAGCACCTGAGGACTAATACAGTTCTAAAGCCAGTACCTTAGTCAGGGGTACTGGTAGGAGTGTTCCTTTCATGCATGTTTTTCTGGGTGGGGGAAACTGGAGTATCTGGGGGAAACCCACGCGAACAGGGGGGGAACATGCAAACTCCACAGAGAAAGGCCTTGGGCTGGATTTGAACCCACGACCTTCTTGTGTGAGGCAGCAGCGCTAACCACTTTGCCACCATGCTGTTTGGAGGCTTGAATCAGATATTACTCAGATTCTTCAGTTCAGGTCAACTATAATGGAGATTAACAACAGATTGTCATCTCTTGCAGTGATTTTTAACTCTTTATTTAGAGTGTCATCGGGAGAAAACATGACCTAAAGTACCTCAAATAGAGGTAACATTAGAGTAGCTAGCGCACTTATTTGCTGGACTGCAGGGTGCCTGAAAATGTACAAACCTCAATTCCAATGAGGTTAGGACGTTGTGTAATTCGTGAATAAAAACAGAATACAATGATTTGCAAATCCTTTTCAACCTATATTCAATTGAGTACGCTACAAAGACAAGATATTTAATGTTCAAACTGATATTTTTTTTGTTTTTTTGGAAATATTCACTCATTTTAAATTTGATGCGTGCAATACGTTCCAAATGAAGTTAGGACAGGGCATGTTTGACACTGTGTTTCATCACCTTTCATTTTAACAACACCCTATAGCGTTTGAGAACTGAGGACACTAACTGTAGAGGCTTTGTAGGTGGAAATCTGTCCCATTCTTGCTTAATGTATGACTTCAGTTGCTTAGCAGTCCGGGGTCTCCATTGTCGTATTTTGCGCTTCATCATGTGCCACACATTTTCAATGGGAGACAAGTCTGGACTGCAGGCAGGCCAGTCAATTACACGTACTCTTTCACTACGAAACCACGCTGTTGCAACACGTGCAGAATGTGGCTTGGCATAGTCTTGCTGAAATAGGCAGGGACGTCCCTGAAAAAGAATTTGCTTGGATGGCAGCATATGTTGCTCCAAAACCTGTATGTACCTTTCAGCATTCATGGTGCCTTCACAGATGTGCAAGTTACCCATCCCATGGGCACTAACACATCCCCATACCATCACAGATGGTGGCTCTTGATCTTTGCGCTGATGAAAATCTAGAAGGTCCTTTTCCTCTTTAGCCTGGAGGATACGACATCCATGATTTCAAAATAACAATTTGAAATGTGGACACCTCAGACCACAGCACACTTTTCCACTTTGCGTCAGTCCATCTCAGATGAGCATAGGCTCAAAGAAGCCGGCAGCATTTCTGGGTGTTGTTGATATATGGCTTTCGCTTGTTATGGTAGAGTTTTGACTTAGACTTGTCGATGAATCGACGAACTGTGTTAACTGACAATGGTTTTCCAAAGTGTTCATGAGGCCACATGGTAATAATCTTCACAGAATGATGTCAGTTTTTAACGCAGTGCTGCCTGAGGGACCTACTGTCACGGGCATTCAATGTTGGTTTTCAGCCTTGCCGCTTACGTGTGGAGATTTCTCTGGATTCTCTGAATCTTTTGATGATATTATGGGCGGTAGATGATGAAATCCCAAAATTCCTTGCAATTGCACACTGAGAAACATTGTTCTGAAACTGTTGGACTATTTGCTCATGAAGTTTTTCACAAAGTGGTGAACCTCGCCCCATCCTTACTTGTGAACGACTGAGCCTTTCGGGGATGCTCCTTTTATACCTAATCATGACACTCACCTGCTTCCAATTTACCTGTTTACCTGTGGAATGTCCCAAACAGGTGTTTTTTGAGCATTCCTCAACTTTCCCAGTCTTTTGTTGCCCCTGTCCCAGCAGTTTTGGAACATGTTGCAGGCATCAAATTCAAAATGAGTGAATATTTCCAAAAAAATAATAAAATTAATCAGTTTAACATTAAATATCCTGTCTTTGGAGCGCATGCAATTTTATATGAGCCGAAAAGGATTTGAAAATCATTGTATTCTTTATTTATTCATGTATTACATAACGTCCCAACTTCATTGGAATTGGGATTTGTTCATCATCAAGACATACTTCACAGTTTCTGACTCCTCTGAGAACAACGCTCATAAGCCGCAGGGAAGTGGCTGGGGCATTCCTCAGCCCAAAAGACATGGAATGACAGTATATTGTAGGAAAAAGTCTGGGGTGACAAAGGCACTCATTTCGGATGCTCGCTGTGTGACAGGGACCTGTCAGTAACCTTCAAGAAGGTCTAATTTTGTAACAAATTTGGATGATCCCACATAATCTTCGCAATCATCCATACGTGGAAGTGGGTAAGAGGGTCATTCCATGCCAAATCACCTAATGGTCCCCAGGTCACCCTCTTAGATTTTGCTGAAACTCCATGAAAATGTTCATATATGCAAATAACGAACACACAGAAAATTTCAGGCCAAAAGTCCAAGCCGTTTTGAAATTACGGCCGTCCAAGACCCCCTCTTTAATGCTGTCGCAAGGCCAATGTCATGGATTTTTTTCATTTTCAAATGATCATATTTTTGGATTTGAAAAAGCTACAAAGCTGAAAATTGCTACCTGGGGTAATTTGCACACAAGCTTTCAGAATCTCCAATCAAAAACAGTGTATCTTGCTTCCTTTTGAAGATATGGGCACCTGAAAATGAAAGTTTTTTCTAGCGGAAATTTATTTTTGCGATTTTTAGGCTTACCTGGTGCCCGAACCATTGATCTGAGGATACCCAAATTGCTGATACATAAACTCTACATACAGCTAAATAACTCCTTGCAAGCATAGACTTATAAAACAATCAGTAAAGGTATGGCTAGGGTCCAAATTCGACTTTCACAAAAAAATCTCAAAAATCACCCCTTTTCAGGGGGTCGGTTGACCTTGTGAACAGTTACTCAGGGTAATGAAATTTGCACCACAGAATTATATGTATCTGACCTTTATATGTACCAATTTTTATTGATGTGACTTAACTCCTTCATAGTTAGGCAGTGTTTCAAAGAAACCCACTAATTTGATCAAATTACACCATTTTGCTGTACATTACAATGTCTTCGGTAGATGTCAAAGGGCAAAAAATGAGAATAAGTAATCTTTGATAACCTTTTTATATATAATAATTCTTAGAAAGTTGTAAAATTCATGACTTTGTACATCAGGAATAGTATCATATGGCTTGTTTTAAAACAAAGTTTTCCATAGTACCATACATTGTACATATTGTACATTGATGTTACTAATACAAAACTGCTTTTATTTAAGTGGATTCAACTTACTGATTTTCAGTGGGCTCTACTTACATTATTTGCATGAGGTCATAGCTGTTGGAAACTGTTTATTAAGATTCATCCTAGTCCAGGTGACCTCGTCTAATTAGGTGTTAAAACATTGTTTATCTAGGTTCATCCTAGTCTACTTAACTCCAAACCACAACTGTTTATTTAAAATAGCTGGATCAATTACCTCACTGTTGTGGCCGTATTGTTTACAGAATAATTGAACAGTGTGTTCACTTTTCAGCTCACATCCACTCCTCACAATTCATTTCAACTGCAATGTTCAGCAGATGAAGTGTACATTTTGTGAGCTCTGTAAAAATCAAGATTTAAAACATTTGAAGCATTTGAAGAATTTGAAGCATCAAGATCGGGATGCAGTATTGGAATTGCACTGGAGGAGGAATGCCATAAGAAAATATATGGCAGAAATGTTGGCACACTTGCAGCCTCTGACTTGTCACAGGATGATAAGAAGCTATTGGAATGGAGAAGTGGGGTACTGCTACGTGATGACAGCACAGTGTGTTTTCACCATGAGAAGATGTACATCTCTCGATATGAATGTACTCAGAAATATTGCAGTGATCCATTCAAAATGCACAAGAAACGTATTTCAAGTAAGTTTGCTTAAATTTGCTTTTACAAATTATTGTAATTGTCAATTTACCTGATCAGTTCATAATCATGAAAAAAAGAAGTTTGTAGTTCTAAACTTAGTTTTAAAATTAACATACCTCCTCAGGTTCCTGTTCAAAGTTTTATTGTGTAATATTAGGCCAGATGTTGCTCATTTAAACAATGAAATTTGATGGAACAAACTTTTGATGGAGTTCATTTTGCTTTATGCTAGGCTAATGTGCACCAGAAAAAGAATGGGGAAATAAGCACTGGCAATTTTTAACTGTGCAAACTTAACAAAACAAATTGCTTATCACTTCCCTTCCACCAATTACAGTTTGATTTTGTTTGATACTAATGGCCAAGAAATATGTTCCTGCAGCTTTAGAGGCTGAATACTGACAGTTTTCTTATTAATAGTCAACACAATGTGTGTTTTTGAAGACGCCTTACTCATGTATGCAGATTTAGCTCTCAATAACCTACATTGTATCACTGTATAATTTCAATCTGTGTACCTGCTTGAACTTTCCTATGTTTAAATTATAACCACGTAGAAGCATTGTATTGATTTTGTTAATAGTATCGTAAATTAATTTTTGTTCCAATGTATTTATTTTGTAGAGAGTCTCAGAGCCATCGATGAAGATACTGCAAAAGAGCTTAACCTAAAACCTGGTCAGAAATTGTGTCCAACTTGTGATGTCAAGTATAAGCGTCATGATTACATATCCACCTCAACCGACACTGATGAATTTGAACCACTGACTACAGCCCAGCAGTCACTTGATACCAGTTCTTCAGTTCTGGGGTTGTCTCCTATAAAATCTGTCAGTCAGCGGGACAAACTTGGTGATGGAAAAAGGAAAATACAGGACATTCAAACAGCAGCTAAACAAAAGGTGGCTAAACTATTGGATGTACCAACAAGTGAATTAAGTCCTACAAAAGCTGAGCCTTGTAAGAAGTGTGAAGATTTGGATAGGCTAATATGCCTGTTAAAGGATAAATGCAAATATGCTTCACGACAGGAGCAAATAAAACTACTTACCCTTGTTCCAGCCAGTTGGACTATCAAAAAGACCATGGCTGAGTTCAATGTTTCTGAACATATTGTAAAGAGAGCAAGAGAACTTAAGAAGAATAAGGGAATTCTAGCTGAGCCAGACCCAAAAAAGGGAAGGCCTTTAAGTACCGAAGTGGTGGAAAGAGTGAAAGCCTTCTATCGATCAGATGAGTATTCTCGGATATGTCCGGGAAAAAAGGAGTATGTATCTGTTAAGACAGGTGATGGGAGAGTTCAGATGCAGAAACGTCTCCTCC